CAGCCTGAGACGAAGCCTGCAGACAACACTCGGGGCTGAAAGGTCAAAGCTTTTCTCTGAGCCTCGCACAAACTTTCTAGAACTCGATCCTTCACGTTTGGATGCGTTTAAAGAAGTTTAGTCGGTTTTCGTCAACGTGAAGCAAAAGCAGGAACTCGATCTACAAACTGCTGAGTGATTTTAAAAAGCAGGAATGTGGAGTTCACGTGGACACCACCTGCAGCGACCACACAAGCCGGCACGCTGTTCTGATCCTCTCAGGCGTACAGTCACCCGCTCGCCCGACTGACCTCCGTCACAGGAAGCGGTCCGATCGGCACAGAGCACAGAGACCCGGCCGTCTTCCTTCCTTCAGTCGCCAGTGTCTGCAACAAAAACCCACAAAGGCTCCCACCCCGAAAACACAACATAACGCACGCAAAGATGTGGCAGCTGAAGAAGACGAAACAGAAAAGGTCTTCCATCCAACCGGACAGGACATCACGCAGAAGAAGAAGAAGAAGCGCGGCGTGTCAAAAGTGCGAAAGTCTTTGCATTCATCAAGAAATGAAAGGAAGTGAAGTTTCTACATGGCTTAAAGCTTCGGAGTTCTCAGCGCTCGCTCGACTCGCAAAAACATTTTGTCATCGTCGTGACAGAAATGATGATGATGATTACAATGTGGCGATGAAGAGTAGGTGGGCTAGCCTCTCGGCGCCATTTCAGCAGGGCTCTTTGCATAAAATGTAAATCATCATCATCAACGTCTTGATTTTTTTTCCATTTCCAAACAGGCCCCTCCCCCTCGCCCTCCCCCATTTGATTTGAAATATTTCATAACGAGCACGAAGACCCCACCGCCCCCCCCTCCCCTTTTTTTAAGCTTCTTTTTTTCTTTGTTTTCGCCGTCGTTGTTATGGCGGTTGTCGTCGTCGGTGTGGTTGTAGTTGTTGTTGTTGCTGAACAGAGGGAGTGTTAAAATGGGAGTTCTCCTCCTCCACCTTCGCCTCGTCTTCCTCCTGCGGGTGGCGCTGCAGGCTACGACGCCTCTCGTTCTGTGGAGGACTCCGCTGCTCGCTGCTCCCTCTCCAGGCTCCTCGCCCGCTCCTCGCTGTTCATCGTCGGGCTCCTCGAGGACTTCAGCAGCTTCTCCTCGAGCTCGTGCAGCGACGGCTCCTTATACATGCAGACTACATGGGGGAGGGCAGGGGAGGACGGGGGAGGATGGGGGAGAAAGACAGTGAGTCATTAAAGCATCACGCCACCACCAACTCTCGAATTTACACGTAAAATAAACTGAAAAGACGTAAATTTAGATGTCAGAGTTCAACCTGTGATGCTGCATTAATGACACAATCATAACTAACAGGTGTGCAGTGAACCTGAACCTTTATGCAAATTATAAAAACAAACCTATTAAAACTAGTAGCTACTTCATGTGCTGACGTTAAATAACAGAAAAGAAGAAGAACGAATCAGAAATGATAAAAGAAGACATCAGTGAGTTAACGAGGGGGGAGAAGGAAGAAGGGGAGGAAGGAGGCTGAAGGACACCGAGGAAGAGGAGAAGATTGACAGAAGGACGAGAGGAAGGTGATAGTTGACAGATGTATAGTTGATGGATATTTTTAAATGAAGATGAGGGATGAGAGGGGAGGGGCAGAG